AACACATCAGATAAAGCAGGCTCCGAACAAAACATACACATCATCTGATCAGGATTCATATCACACAAGACTTGAAACAGAATAAGAATAATTCTTGAGGAGAAGCTCAAGGCCATAATCCATCACACCATACAGACCTTAGAGAGCGAAGCCATCCACATCGGTGTGGGCAAACCGATCAGAGACGAGAATGATGGAAAGCAAAAGATTCTGTGACTCACTTGTACATATAGATATCATTGGCTTCTTCCGGAGGAGGAAGAAGAAGCTGAATGAGAGAGAGAGAGAGTGAGAAGTTACTGAGGGCATGTTCTTTTGCGTCTCCAAGAGAATGCTTAAACCCTAAACTGAATGAGAAATAAAGAAAATAAATTAGCATCAAGATGAAAGATTAAAAAAGTGTGAAATATCCTTTACAATATTTTTACTAAAGTAAATGAGGTAACAAATTGTATAATGATAAAAGTGGATGCTATTACAAAACCTCTAAACTAAATGAAATTGAATGATATATTTGACTCACCTATCAACCATTAAGCAGAGGACTGGGAGTGATCCAAATAGGAGGTGGCACGTTTAGACGAGCATCAGAGTGCAAAATATATGAGAAGGTATCGTTCTCCAAGTCATAGATGATTACATCCTGACATTTCTCTCTATGTTGATCATTCCACCACCAGAAGTCACTAGTGAAATAGATGTGGTTTGATCTGAAAGTCTTTACAAGAGAGACAAAGAGATTGATTGTTGCATAAAAAGAGTGCATACAAGAGAGACAAAGTAAAAGTATTCCTTATTCATGAATCACAAAAGTAGTCAAACATAATATGTTTATTTATTTCTAAACAGAGAATATTTTGAGATGGTTAGTATTAAAAAGTATTTGGGATTCCTAAAGCAAGTGTGTTAGGAAAATAAGGAATCCTAATATGAGAAGGATTTCAAGGAAAAAAACCTAAAAGTTATAGTATTATTATTATTATTATTATTATTATTATTATAATAATATATAATATCAAAATAAAAAGATATGTAGATGAGATGTTCACCGGGAGGTGCGGATGTCCAATCTATAGACTATCATAAGTGGTTGTCCACTTATTGTCGCTAGATATAGCAAAGGAGATGCCTTCATAAGGGTAGTGAATGAGTGTAATCTTCTTGTGAGGGGTCCGACGATAGCATGGCCTTGAAGTTAAGCCTCGGAACCTCCTCTGTAGGACGTTGGTTATGGTGAATGTTTTAGGTGTGGTCTCTAATGTGCCCCCATAGGTCGCAGATTGGTTCGATGTGATCAAGGGTGAGGATGAAGGAGATGTTGATCTGTGCACCATTAATGGGGTTCAATAGTTGTATCTTGAACCACTCGTCAATAGTAATCAGCCACCTATGGGAGGAACCCACAGTAAGATAGCGAAATGATCATCGAAGGCACTACTAGCACTATCTTTGTTGGCACTACTACCACTGAATGCGAGTTATGGGCTCTGGTGGTGAAGCTTAGAGTAATATCGATGAAGATCACGAATAGCACCTAACCATGCGACACATACAATAGTATAGTGAAGGAGGTCGGGTGGGGAGAACTTAGAGAAGATGAGGTTTAGGATATCTTGGTGAAGGTTGGACTAGTCGGCTATAATATGGAGAAGATAAAGATTTTTTACCCTCTCTTCCTCTATATTTATAGCTTTCTCATACCCAAGTCAACTCCAACATAAATTCGGTAGAGGTTTCCTTATATAGTGAGTTATTCTCTTTAGATGATATGCTAATATAGTATATCTATTAGACTATTTGAAAATCTAATGTGACATATTCTATATGTATTGATTAGACTTCATATATCTTGTCATAATTAACTAAATATAATAGTTATATCATTTACTTTCTATGGTACAAGCTTATCTGTCATATAGCATAATATAAATTTTAGGACGTATTACCTATATTCTAAGATTATTAAGTTATATTATTTCTGGTCATAAGCTAGTATAATATGTAGAAGGGGATGCTTTAGTAGTGTAAGTCATATAAGATATTTTTACCAAGAATACTTTATTTGCATTAGGTGGTTTAGATTTTTCTTTTTTTACCCAAGCAAACACATCACACACAAATAGGATGCTTTTATAGGAGGTATGATATCTTTTTTCTACTAAGTGGATGTGTCGTACACAAAAGATCACATGCAAATAGGATGCTTATATAGGAGGTATGATGTCTTTTTTCTACTAAGTGGATGTATCTTATACAAAAGATGATAGTTCGATCACATTTAAGGTGACACTTTAATCATGTCAGATTCTTAAAATTTTTTTTATCCTAAGCAAATAGATCATACATAAAGGGATATTTTGATCACTTCAGGTACTTCTTTATCTTAGGTGGATATATGAGGTATATAGAGTTTGTTATGATTATATAAGATGTTCAAGATACTTATTTAATTGAGGTCCACACTTCATATGCAAAAAGAATACACCTTAGTTACTTTTTTATTTCATACAAATATAACATGCGCAAAGTGCCCAATTTAGTTGCATTACATGCTTTTTTTTTTTTCACTTACGAAGGTGACACTTTAATCACATCGAGTATTTTAATATATTTTTTTATCTTATATAAAAGTATCATATGCAAAAGTGATGCTTTCAAACTAAACGATCATATTAAATACTTTACAAGTTTTTTTTTTGTTTTTTTCACTCGCAAATGGCAAACTATGGCCATGTAGAATACTTTAATTTTTTTTCCTAAATAGACATATCACGTGCAAATGGGATACTTTGGGATCACATTTTAAATGTCTTTTTTATATTGGGCAAATGCAAGTAGATGATTTGATTATATTAGATGTTTTAGATGATTTTATTCAAAATAGATGTTTTTATTTAGTTGGACCATTCATATATTTTCTTATCCTAAATGGATGCATCATAAGCAAAGAGGATGATTTTGTCACATTAGGTACTTTGAATTTTTGTGTCCTAGCAAACACATCAAAGAGGAAGCTTTAAACCTAGTTAGTTGGATCAAGCATTTCATATGTTTTTTCTTTTCTAGAGGAATGTAACACTTTGAATTTTCATAGGAATATTTTTACTTTATCCTAAGCAAATATATCACATGTAAAGGGGATGCATTGGTTGCATTTGACATATGCCTTTTTTTGTTTTTATCCTAGGCATAGAAGTCACATGCATAGAAAAATACTTTAATTAAATCATATACTTTTGATATTTCTTTATTTGCCGTGTTAGGTGAGTCAAACTTTTTACCGTAGGCTAACAAGTCATGAACAAAGGGGATGCTTAGGGCCTTGTTGACAATGTCATGGGCTTTATTTATTTATTTATTTATTTATTTTTGAGGAATATTATCGATGTCATTGGTTATGCCATGAACAAAAGGCAGCTCGGGTCGATCGCTAAACAGAATAAAAAATATTTGTAAGAATATTCTCGAATGCGATCGAATTCGACCATAAATAATCTCATTTTGATGAATGGTAAAATATGAACATAGATCATCCGTCGATGATGTGGTCGAATTAGGCCATGAAGTATCACTTAATGATAATACAATAAAATTCAACCATAAAGCGTCCATTGAGCCCACCCATGAAAGGTTCTTCAAGACAATTCCATCCACCGAATTAGGCCACGTCAAACCCGCGTATGACTGACCCTTGTATAGTAGTATAAAAACCCATGACCGACATCTGGCCAGAGGAGAGGCAAAAACCGAGAACCAAGCACTAACTTACTCGTCGAGAGGCCAAAGTCGGTAACCACCCGACGAGGGCCTTATGTGCAGGAGAGCGATCACCCACTAAGGCGCGACCATCCCGATCGAGAGGCATCTTCCTTCAGGCAGCTCCGACATTCCGACCGACGCCCAGGGCCTTATGTCCAAGAGAGCGGACACCCCTCGAGACGCGATCGTCCTGACCAAGAGACACCAACCAACATCCTGACACCAGCATCTCGACCTGCGATCGATTAACCTCGGCAACCTGTTCGATCGACCATTGACTTCCGACATCGACTCGTGGAACCAACCGTGCTGACTCATCAACTACGATACATCAGTTCACCAAGACAAATAACTTCCAATTCTGTTGCCCACATGGAAGATGATGATGTGGACGTCGACGTGTCCAACCTAACACGGATAAATGACATGTCAACCCAAAGGGCAGTACAAACGTCAAAGTGGACAGAGGACGAAGGGGAAGAATTGAGAAGGGGATGAGAACGTGATTCGGCTTTTGCCGTGGCATGAGCCTTTGCCCAACAGAGACGGGCACCCACCACATCTGATGGCGTGAGGCGAAGAACCGAGATTCCCAAAGCGGCGAAGATGAGGTAGATGGACTGTCGTGGATATTATTTGTCGCAGCGGGTAGTTGCCATGCCCAAGTACATTGTTTATTATTATTCTTATGTCGAGGCGCTTCTTTAACGGAATATTCCTCGGTATCATTCTCTCTTTGAATTGAATGTTAAATCTTTCTGGAAATACTTGACTTCCAAAAACAAAGAGAAATGAATACATCGGGCGGCAGCCAGAATTGGAAGATCTTTTTTGTGGCATTCGCCGTAAATTATCGCCAGAACCAGGGGCGTCAGCTTACCGCGAGCGCCTTTTGGTCGCGCGGGCAGACGCGCGTGAAGGGTCACGTGGCAGCCTCGTCACGGATCACGAGCGAGTCACATCATCCCCCCTGCCGCCGGAACTTTTAAACCCATCTTGTCTCCCTCTTCTCACTGGTCGGGTAGCAGAAGTATCTTTCCGTCATCGGCGGTTGATCAACTGACGAGTTTAGTTAAATGAAATCCAAGGTACACCGCAATGCATCGCTTTCGCACGAATCATAAGACAAATGATCACTCGTCATCCGGCGGTTCTCTTCTTTCCGATGGGAACGAATCCGTCATTAATTGAAGCGTTTTCCATCGGATTATTCTAGAGAAACCCTAGTTGGCGACTTCTCCTTCGCCTATATAAGAGAGACGGCTTACGGCCCCTCCCATTCCGCCTCCATTTCTCTTCTTCTGACGCCTCATTTCTCTGTTTTCTCGGATCTCATTTGCGATCGCCATGGGTGAGACTTAAGATCTCTCTCTTCTGAGTTCTATTCGCTGCTATTAGGATCTCATGTTGGGTTTTCGTTTTTCTTGTTGTAGCTGGAAAGATCAAGATCGGCATCAACGGTCGGTTTCCTCTCGACTTCTTCGATTTCATGGTTCCGATCGGTATATGATTGGGTTGTGAGCTTTTGCTGATCCGTTCTTGAGCGTTTTGATAGGGTTCGGAAGGATCGGGAGGCTGGTCGCCAGAGTCGCACTTCAGAGTGACGATGTGGAGCTCGTTGCTGTCAACGACCCCTTCATCACCACTGATTACATGGTACTGTTCTATTTCTGTAATCTTGTATGACTTATGTACAGATCTAGTCACCTGAAGACATCGCGTGCTTGTTCTTAATTTTGATTGGTGGACTGATGACATCACTATATCTTTGTGTATATTGTTATGTGGACCTTTAGTATGTTGCCATCCGTGGTTTCAACCGTGAATTCTACAGATCTAGTGGTTTATTACCTGTCAGTTTCAATTACTTGCCAAAAAGAATATTTCACTCGTTCCCAGTGTTCCATATGAGTTGTACAGTTCCTATTTACTGTTTCCTGTCTTCTTCGTAATGATTGATGTCTTGTCTACTTTCATATCGTCTGGTGTCTTGGCCATTTCTGTCTTCGATAATTGCTAAATCTGTACATTTGCTCCATTTGTTCTTGTCTGAATCGTATAATTGGATGATACATTGCAGACGTACATGTTTAAGTATGACACGGTGCATGGATCATGGAAGCATCACGAGATTAAGGTTAAGGATTCTAAGACTCTTCTTTTTGGCGAGAAAGAAGTCACCGTTTTTGGTATCAGGTACCCTTTTTTTTTTTCCTGATGTGTTTGAGATATAGTTATGTTTCGCCATTAAGCTGTTCTTTTTTTATAGGAACCCTGAGGAGATCCCATGGGGTGAGTCTGGTGCCGAGTACGTCGTGGAATCAACTGGTGTCTTTACTGACAAGGACAAGGCTGCTGCTCACCTTAAGGTAATAATAATTCTAGATGTCCTTGATTTTGCAATTGGTTTTCCCCCTTTTTATTAATTTTTTTTCTGAGGATTGTATCTGATGATATTTTTTTTATTTTTGACCAACATAATTATCTAATTTTGTGAAATTAATGTTATTTATTTCATCAGACTGATTCATCAATGTCAATACAGCCTAGTTCACTCAGGTTATGGGCCTTCCGTCATATGAGTCACTAAATTTAACATATCATTGATGCAGCTGATGTCAAGAAATCAATTGGAAGTTAGTATTTCAGTGTTTTTGCTCTTATGTTGGATGTCTGGAATATGACATTTGCTAAATGTAAAACATAGTGAAATTAACAGCAAGATTATCTCAGAATGACACTATACTATCTTTATTCAACCTATTTATGAGTATATGAAACCTATGGATGCCATGGTTAGATGCAATTAGTGAAGAATTACTGGCATGAAGAGTTTTAGAAGCTTAAAGGGTAGATAGAGAACTCTAATGCAAATAATAAAAAAAGAATTACTCTTTTATAAATAGTAGAAAAAAATTTTGTTAGTTTGACCAGTGATGTTGTCTTATATAGGGCTCAATGGCATGTCTCCTTGTAACCAATGCTAAATAGTTGAGATATTATGACTTAGCATTATTCGTGCTGATTTTCCTTTTATTATTCAGGTACCTAAGATGTACAGATTCATGAATGGCAATATGTATGTGTTGTCTGTATGTGAATAACAGTAGATAGTTGTTTCTCATCATCAGATCTGAGGCTTGGTTTTAGACATGCTATAAGTCATGATAGAAGATTGTTTACATTTTCTTATGTTGTATATATATGACAAGCAAATTACCTGCATATGTGCATATAACAACACTAGTGCTTGAAATAGTGGAGTTGGCTGAACTACCATTTTGAACTATTCTCTTTTACTACAGGGTGGAGCCAAGAAGGTCATAATCTCTGCTCCCAGCAAGGATGCCCCAATGTTTGTTATAGGAGTGAATGAAAATGAGTACACGTCTGACATAAACATTGTATCAAATGCAAGCTGCACAACCAACTGTCTTGCTCCTCTAGCCAAAGTATGTATATCTAATGAAGTGCTATCTGTTAGTTCATGATTTGGTATTAATTAATTTTATTGAATTCTCTTTTATGTTAGGTCATCCATGACAGATTTGGAATAGTGGAGGGTTTGATGACTACAGTTCATTCTATCACAGGTAGTTATTATTTGAGTTATACAAATTTGTTTCTACTTAGTGTAGCATGTAGCATCTTTTTACTGAAGTTGTTAATATGAGCTTTACTTGTTTATCAGCCACTCAAAAGACTGTTGATGGACCATCTAGCAAGGACTGGAGAGGTGGACGTGCTGCAAGCTTTAACATCATTCCTAGCAGCACTGGTGCTGCCAAGGTACTTCCAGTAGCATGATATATTTAACTGATTGAACCTTCCCCTAATGCATCAGGCAGATCTTTTTTATAATTTCATTTTTGTCATTTAATTACATCTGGATGTAATTAAATATATATTCATGATCATGTATAACATATAATATGCACAATAGCAATCTCACTTGATGGATTCAAGAGACTAGTTCTCCTTTATGCATAATTCTGTGCTAGTTGATGATGACTAAGAAGGCATCTGCTTCTCATATACTTTCTACAATAAATCTGTTCTAATCTACTTTCTTGGTAGGCATGCATGGTGTCCTGTGGATTCTGGTCCATTTCTTTTTGTTTGTGTTGTCTGTTTCAATTTATTTTCTGGTCCATGTTTGTTACAACATGTGGATGGTAGTCAGCTATTTGGAGTTCTTGAATTATAATGCTTAGAGTTCATTTCATGTTAGTGTGTCTATGGTGGCCTTGCTTATTTGATAATGATTTTCCAGCTGGAACTCTTGAATTATTTTCTTGTTCTGTAAACATGACTGCTCATGATAATTTGATGTCAACCAATCTGCTTATGATGCAGGCTGTTGGAAAGGTCCTTCCTTCTTTGAATGGAAAGTTAACCGGTATGTCTTTCCGTGTTCCGACTGTTGATGTGTCTGTTGTAGATCTTACTGTCAGGCTTGAAAAGGCTGCCACCTATGATGAGATCAAGGCTGCCATTAAGTAAGTATCAATATTTGACTCACCTAATTCATTTCTTTAACAATGACGGCTAGAACCAGTGTTTTTTATGTGTTGACTAAATTTGGCACCTTAATGTTCTGTCATTGTCTTCAGAAAATAATGGCAACATAATTGTCTTAGACATTTATCTAATAAACAAGCATATCTTCTTGCCCTGCTAATACTTGCCACCATCTTCCCTTCACGATTGTTTAATTTGTTGCACCACAGGGAGGAATCCGAGGGAAAGCTTAAGGGCATTCTAGGATATGTGGAGGAGGACTTGGTCTCCACTGACTTTGTAGGAGACAGCAGGTACTGTCTGTGAATAAGATATTTAATGGGTTCTAATTAATTACTTAGTGTCTTATCCTGTTTCTTCCCAGCATGATTCATACTTACTTTTGTTGGCTCTATTTGACCATTATTTCCTAATTTATTTATTTTTTGTTTGCCTACTGCAGGTCAAGCATCTTTGATGCCAAGGCAGGAATTGCCTTGAATCCTAACTTTGCCAAGCTTGTGTCTTGGTATGATAACGAGTGGGGTTACAGGTAACTAAATATTGCTCTCTGAATACAATGTGAGACTATTACTTGTAGACATCTGGAATAGGTGTATACTTCTGCGCCACTATTACACTTTTATTTGAAGTTTTCCTTTCTGTTGGCAGCTCACGTGTAATTGACCTGATCCGCCACATTCACAAGACTAAGTAATTCGATTGCTTCCCCGACTTGCTGTTCTCCGGCCGTTCTTCGGACCATTGCTTTCTCTTTATTTTCATCACGAATAAATGTTTTGATGCGACATCTTTTTCATAATTGCCTCCCAGACTCTAGCCTGGGCATTACATACATGCCCAGTTTTTGTTTTAGATGTTAATTATTCAGCTGAATGTGAGGCTGAACCGTGTACTTTGCTTCCGGACTCACTGATATGGAAGTCGATTTATTTTGAGTTGAGAATAGTCTTGCTGGTTGCATTTATCGTTTATTGCTGGGTGGTATGGAAGTGTGATCCGAGTTAACTAATGTTTGGTCGAAACATGATAGTGTCAAATTAAATGCTTTGTGTGGCTGAGCATCCAACATCACTTCAACAGCCGTTTGTCCAAATCTCGACATTTCTGCGTCTGTGTCATTAGACTTCGATCTTAATTTCTCGTTTGGTTGTTATTCTGGTTGTCGACTGGTGCTGAGATAGAGTTACATGCTTTGCCTACGGGTCGTCATTGGCGTGAATGATACATCTTGGATGGTTTTATCGCCCGATCGAATGATCAAACGCACGTGACGCGTATGTTCTCAAATTGTTCAATGAGAGCGAGAAATAATCCTACACTTAACCGAGTTACACGTGAATATGAACGGTTGGCACTTCCAACCGCGGTTACGATTTAAATATTATTAATGTATACATACCTCTCAAAGTATTGCCAAAAAATCTGAGCGCCGAACCAATCTTGATTCAGTTTTCAATAGATAATATTATTAATTAGAGATTTTTAGAGGTTTGAAACTTCATCAAACAAATTTTAAAGAACTACATTAACTATTAATGAATCCAGTCTTCAAACGATGGTCAATTGACAGACAACACTAAATGATCCAAAACTAAATTTAGATGGATAAATACGAAAATAACTGATTTGTGAGGGATGTAAATGCAATTTTCTAAACAAACCCACCTTCGATCCGTTCAGACGTTAAATAAACCTCCGACCCGACCACCGGTTCCGCTCGCTCTCATCATGACGTTTTCTTCGCTCCGAGCAGCCAAAGGTACTCTCTCTCTCTCTCTCTCCGCTCGCATGTCGTTCTTGATGTTAACGACCCTTTCTTTTCCTTTTCCCAATTCCTGCAGTCGTTTACAAGAGGCATTTCCGGTGGCATATGCAATGCTTCTTGTCCACCGACATCGTTGGCGATAAGCCCATCCTTGTGAGTGCTCCTTCGAGGTCTTTGCCCTCTCTTTCGCGTTTCTATTTGTGACCACAATTCAGAGCCGATTGATTTCGCAGGTCCGCGACTTCATACGCTCTGCATTGTACGATCCCAACCATGGCTACTTCTCCAAGATGTCGGGATCTGTCGGGCAGCTCGAGTCGAGCATCAGGTTCAATCAGCTCCAAGGTACGAAACGCAAATGAGGCTTATAGGGTTTGACTTGTATAATGAACTGGTTCAAGTGAGATGTTTGCGTTTGTTATTATAGTATTCGTCTTCGGTTAGACATTGTTGCAAACATGTGGTTAGCGTTGTTCGTCTGAATTATTCTCGTTAACAAGAAAATGTCAATGGTTTTGTCGAGTTATCGAAATGAAAATTGAACTCTCTTTTTCTCGGTGAAATGCTTTCCTTGATCCTTCGTTGATTATGTACCTTAACGCATGTACGACACTGTGTTTGTGTGGTTTGTATATGATGGTGATATGCGATTGTTTTGCACTTGTTAGGACGACTGGTTTGTTATATTAAGCATTGTTGCAAGCTGTAGGCATGTTTTCTGGATTTACTGTCATTTGCAAAAAGAGACTGAAGTTTTGGCCACTTTATTCTTTATGTTATTTGTCGTCATCTTTAAGATTATTATGATATCTTCCAAACGATCATAAAGAACGTTTATCTGTTTAATCTCTCTCCCTCATGCTAGCTTCTGGTGTATTCTCTAAAGGGTTGTAAACTGAAAACTTGCTTGTAGCCTTATCATGAAAAATGTGTCTGTTATCTTTCTCTACACTGCAATTAAGCTTTGTATCATCAGCCACTTCTATACCTGATTGTTGCATGATCACCATCACACTAATGGCTTGTACAATATGTATTGAATAATTGCTGTTTATATGTAATCCTTTCATATTGAATAATATCTAGCTTGTTGAATTTTTGGCAGTTTACACCTTGTTTGGGGTGGTGTAAACTATAATTCTTGTGTTCAAATTTGAACATTTCAGATCATTGCTTAAGTCGAGTTTCTAAAACATAAGAGCTGTCTTTATTGTCTGCTTAGTTTCTTCTTTATAGGAATATTCTTGTGGGACTTCATAAAGTGCATGATTGAAGCTTTAGGAGGAAATGCTATATTGATTTTATTTGGGCAATGCAGTGCCTTAATTCTTTTATCTTCCTCAAATTGGTGCCTTTTGCTTTTAATCTTTTCATTTTGGGTAGAAAGTTTTCAAGCAAGGTTCTATCACTTAAGACATATAGTATGTGCTTTTGACTTTGCAGTTTGCTGTTGAGTTGCAAGTCTACTGCTCTAAACTTCATCAAAAAATATTACTGAAGCAAAAAACAAATTATAGTAATGATACTTTAGTTAAGGCACCTATATGTTTTTATAATGTTTTTATTGTGAACTTTATTTTTTTTTTCCACAGGAAGGGTTGCTTACCGCCAACGTCTGAGTAACCTTTACAAACAGCATGAAATTTCTTGGTTTACTCCTGTGGAGCTTTTTAAGGTAGTTTTCTTTTTTCCACTTGTTTGTTGTCTCTTAACATGTAACTTCATTTTCTTTAGAAGTCGGATATTGTGAAATATTTGTTCCCTTGTTTTATGAATAACTTATTTATAAGTTGATTTTGGATTTTGTATGTTATTGTGAATAATAGTTTCTCATATTTTTGGATGAGAAAAAATGAAATGAGGCACCTAAAGTTAGCTAGATAGTGGTGGTATATGACTCTCTATGGTTATTTGTGAAAGGTCTAAGCAAAGATTGTAAGCATCAAGCTAATATTGTTAGTTAGCTAACTGGACAAGTTGCAGGCTTCTAATTAGCAACTACTTATGAGTTATGACTAATATCTACATATAGGGTATTTCAGTGCACAAGGCTTCTAATTGTGATGTCTAGGCAGAGCAAACATATGTAACCTTAACTCTCAAATTTAGTGGCTGTTTCAATGGCTCAAGTCCATGTCATTTATGTCACAAAGTGCAATCTTACTATGGTGCCAAGGGTTGTCTTTTTGAATAATATTTATAAATAATTATTGAAGAATATCCATCTATTATCAGTTAAATATGTTGAGAGGAAAATCTTTCCCTGGTCACTAGTTGGAATATTACTTAAATACTTCTTTGTACTCTGCTCCTTATGAAAACTAATCCAGTTATGTAACTACCTTTCCTTCTTTAACTTGCTCTCTTGGATTAATTTGCAGACATTTTATCTTAAATTCAAATATCAAAGCTCCATTTGCGTTCTCTCTTTCACTCATTATGATAAGTGATAACAACTCCCTCAAGAATAGAAGCTATCTTTTTGGAGGCTGCTTATATGAATTTAGCAGATTGAGCTAATTATGATACCCTTCGGAATATGATTTTGTTGTACATTGTTATGTTATTGCATTAAGATTTGTTCCTAATGCAATAATCATCTTTTTGCTTGGGTCATGGTAATCTCTGATTGGAGTTATGCACACAATGTGAACATAGTTAAAATCCATGTTCTTTTATTGAACTTCCAACGCATGGTAACCTCCTGTACCATAATGTTTGATTCTTTTTTTATATTCTCTATTTAAAAAGTTCGGTATATTTACAACTACGCATTTTTATATGGATAATTATATACTAGTTACTTGTTTATGCATTGGACACAGGGTGGATCATGAGACAAAGACAAATTTCGTATAACACCCAACCATAGTCCATGCTTAAGGTTTTCTTATGAATGTTTAATTGAGAATGAACATTCAATATCTAGATATGCCATATTGGTGGTTCAAAATCTGCCCTACTCTTTCTCTTTATGCTCATTCTATGGTTCCATGATGAAAAAAGAAAATGCAAGCTTCAAATGTAGGATACATAGGAAACAACTAACAAAGATTAATGCATTTGGTTTGAATAATTGAAATATATTCAAACAAAATCAAAGAGAAAAAGGAAAGATAAATGTTTCGATTTGAAATTGATTGTGCTTGACCCATAATTTGATGGAGATGATCACTTTAAGTTAGTTTATGCTGTTTGTGGATAGCAAAAAGTGAGAGCTAAACAAAAACAATTAGTACGTCAAATAAAGCTAAAGAAGGATTAATTTAACCTAACTCCTTCAACCTATGTTGATTCCATGAAATATTCATCTGTTTTCGTGCAAATGAAGAAAGGTCACACACACACACACACACACACACACACACACACACACAGATGTATGTGTACATATATATACCCATATGTATATGCATACGTCTGTGTCTATGTATATGCATAAGTTCATTTCATTCTGAATCCACTAACTAATCTTTTCTCCTCAAATCCATTTTCTACTTGAATCAACCCTCAATCAAACAACAATTTTGTTAATTGAAAAGTAACAAAGAAATTATATCAACTGCACAGTCCCGAATCACCAATTCGATGTACAATGGGGTGAGTTAGAAAGTAATCAAAGTATGATGGAATAATAGGTTAATTAAGCTCTCTGGAGAAAATAATTGAGCACTTTTTTCTGAAGAAATTGTAAAGCACTTCGCATATTTCACTTCTTTCACTGACATTGAAGCTGGCACAATAGCAGTGATTATTGTTCTTATGTAGGTTGCTATAATCAACCTCTACTACTCATAAGAGTTGTTACAAATTATCTACTGTTTGAAGATTTGTTGCCTCCCTTGATCATTGTCCTTCGAGTCATTTCATGGAGCACTACAGTAGACCATTACTGTTGGCCAAAGCTCATGGTGGGTGAGGCTTTTCATCAAACTAATGGTTTACTATCACTAGGCCACTGCTAAAATGGTCTGCCACCACAAGGGCTGAGGATATCTTCGACAAAGTTAGTGGACAACTCTTTGTGAAAAGAAAATTCTTGTGAAAACAATAGGCCATACTTGCAGTAGCACTCATATTGATACCACTCAGGGATTTCTATCAGGTCTAATAGCAACATGCAGTTAAGTTGGAAAATTCATAAAGAAAGCCATTTAAATCAGAGGGCTTCCTAACAGTTAACAGTACTGAACTCAGATTTCAAAGAGCAGGAACAATGATAGAAGACGTAAGATAGGAAATAAATGAAACGTTTCACCAAGTTTTCTGTGCCTGTTCTCTGTTATGGGAGATTATCTAGCAAGATCAGGCCATGCAATGGTTTTCCACTGCTTCTCTGTGCCGAGCCTTGCTGCCCACCCTGCAATGCCTCTAAGCTCGCCACTGTGCATCTGGTTGTATTCACAGAGGTTGTTGTTATGTTAGCCATTGGTTAATGTAGGGGTCATTGGTGGATGCCAGATATGGAAATCCATAAAGGTAGAAATGGAAGAAGAAAAAGAAGAATATTTGCCGGAGGAAGAGGGCCCAATATTGGAGACAACTTTATATCTGCTTGGTAAAATCATTGGGTTTAGACATTATTCTGGTGATCCCCAAGCATTGGACTGAAAATCAAGGTTCTTTGATTTGACATCCCTATTAGAAACTGGTTGAATTTTCTTTAGCTACTTCCTTATTCTGATTACAATGAAGTTGCAAATCGTTGTTTTTATCAAGGTAGGCAATACCGAATGATTCCGTCCGGTACGGGCGGTATGTACCGGTCCGACGGCATACCGGTACGTGGATCGCCCGCTACCGGACGGAACGAAAAA